GCCATGAATACATTAAGAGATAACTTAATTAGTATATTGGTACCAAGATTTTTCAACATTGTCTCTGGACTGCATCTTTGTCAACAAACAGGGGGTTGCTATATTTACTTGTATTATTTATTTAAAGAATTGAATTTTGGTAATAATAGATCAAGACAAACTTATAATTTTTTACACCTTTTTCAATTTAATTCTATTCTTTATTTATAGAAGCATTACAGGCATAGGTGTGGGACCGTGTGTGCATACTTTAAAAAACGTAATCCTGTATTTTACAAAGCTCATATTATGCTAAGCTATTCAGGAAAGATGTAAGCTAACACATAAATTTCATGAAATGTATTCACTGGTATCTGTATCTGAATAAGGAAAATAACATTCTAGGTACAAAATCAACAAGATATTAAATACTACTGTAAATATAAGTTAATAATTTTTTCTGCAAGTCATGCATTACCTTGCATACAAGTATACAACAATGATGATTGCTATGCAGTAGACCCCAACTTATGATTATCCAACCTACAATCAGGTCACTTTGGAACCAGTTTGTTACTTACCAACTCTGATCTGTAGGTATGATCATTGCAAATTTTATTTTATTATTAACACATCAACTGTTTCCCACCAAGGTAGGGTGGCCTGAAAAAGAAAAACTTTCACCAACATTCACTCCTTCACTGTTTTGCCAGAGGTGCACTTACACTACAGTTATAAAACTGCAACATTAACACCCCTCCTTCAGAGTGCAGACACTGTACTTCCCATCTCCATGACTAAAGTCCGGCCTGCTGGTCTCCCTGACTTCCTTCATAAATGTTACCTTGCTCACACTCCAACAGCATGTCAAGTCCTAAAAAACATCTTTCTCCATTCGCTCCTATCTAACACACTTACGCGTGCTTGCTGGAAGTCAAAGCCCCACACACACAAAACCTCCTTTACTTCCCTCCACTACAGATTTATACACTCTCGAAGTCATTCTATTTTGTTCCATCCTCTCTACATGTCTGAACCACCTCAACAACCCCTCCTCAGCCCACACCTCCTCCTAATTTCCAAACTACAAATTCTCTGCATTATGTTCACACCACACATTGCCCTCAGACATGAAATCTCCACTGCCTCCAGCCTTCTCTTTGTTGCAACATTCACCACCCATGTTTCACACCCATATAAGAGGATTGGTGTAACTATACTCTTATACATTCCCCTCTTTGCCTCAATGGACTTATTCCCCTATAATTTTTTGCACTCTCTTTTGTCCCCTTTGCCTTTATACAAAGGAACTATGCATGCTGTGCCAATTCCTAGGTACCTTACCCTCTTCCATACATTTATTAAATAAAAGCACCAACCACTCCAGAACTATATTCCCACCTGCTTTTAACATTTCTATCTTCATCCCATCAATCCCAGCTGCCTTACCCCCCTCTCATTCTACCCACTGCCTCACAAACTTCCCCCACACTCACAACTAGCTTCTCCTCACTCCTACAAGATATTCCTCCTTGTCCTATACATGAAATCACAGCTTCCTTATCTTCATCAACATTTAACAATTCCTCAAAATATTCCCTCCATCTTCCTGATACCTTTAACTCTCCAATTAATAGCTCTCCTCTCCTACTTTTAACTGTCAAATCCATTCGTTCCAAAACTTTTTCTTATTTTCAACATTTCGCCCACTCTCTCATTTGCTCTCTTTTTACATTGCTTCACCACTCTTTTAACCTCTCTTTTCCTTTCCATATACTCCTCCCTCCTTGCATCACTTCTACTTTGTAAAAACCTTTCATCTGCTAACTTTTTCTATCTTTACATCATCATTACACCAATTGCTCTTCTTCCCTCCCGCACCCACTTTCCTGTAACCACAAACTTCTGCTAAACACTTTAACACTGCATTCTTAAACCTACCCCATACATCTTCAACCCCACTGCCTATACTCTCACTAGCTCATCTATCCTCTAATAGTTGTTTATATTTTACCTTAACTGCCTCCTCTTTTAGCTTATAAACCTTCACCTCTCTCTTACTTGCTGCTTCCATTTTCCTTGTATCCTATCTACCTTTTACTCTCACTGTAGCTACAACTAAAAAGTATTCTTCTTTCTTTCAACACACCAACCGTATCCCACCGATGCGGGGGTGGCCCAAAAAGAAAAACAAAAGTTTCTCTTTTTAAATTTAGTAATTTATACCGGAGAAGGGGTTACTAGCCCCTTGCTCCCAGTATTTTAGTCGCCTCTTACAACACGCATAGCTTACGGAGGAAGAATTCTGTTCCACTTCCCCATGGAGATAAGAGGAAATAAACAAGAACCAGAACTAGTAAGAAAATAGAAGAAAACCCAGAGGGGTGTGTATATATATGCTTGTACATGTATGTGTAGTGTGACCTAAGTGCAAGTAGAAGTAACAAGATGTACCTGAAATCTTGCATGTTTCTTTCTTTCTTTCAACACATCGGCCGTATCCCACCAAGGCGGGGTGGCCCAAAAGGAAAAACGAAAGTTTCTCCTTTTACATTTAGTAATATATACAGGAGAAGGGGTTACTAGCCCCTTGCTCCCGGCATTTTAGTTGCCTCTTACAACACGCATGGCATACGGAGGAAAAATTCTGTTCCACTTCCCCATGGAGATAAGAGGAAATAAACAAGAACAAGAACTAGAAAGAAAATAGAAGAAAACCCAGAGGGGTGTGTATATATATGCTTGTACATGTATGTGTAGAGTGACCTAAGTGTGAGTAGAAGTAACAAGATGTACCTGAAATCTTGCATGTTTATGAGACAGAAAAAAGGACACCAGCAATCCTACCATCACGTAAAACAATTACAGGTTTTTGTTTCACACTCACTTGGCAGGATGGTAGTACCCCCTGGGTGGTTGCTGTTTACCAACCTACTACCTAGGAACTAAAAAGTGATCTGATATATCTGTGGCCCCTCTAAAAATATGTACATCTTGAAGTCTACCCAACAGTCTTTCATCTACCAATACGTAGTCCAACAAACTACTGTCATTAAGCCCTACATCATATCTTGTATGCTTATTTATGCTCTTTTTCTTAAAATATGTATTATCTATAACCAAACTCCTTTCTATACAAAATTCAATCGAAGGGGCCCCATTATCATTGACGCCTGGCACCCAAAACTTAACCTACAACACCCTCTTTAAATGTTTCTCCTGCTTTAGCATTTAGGTTCCCTACCACAATTACTCTCTCACTTGGTTCAAAAGTGCCTACACACTCGCTTAACATCTCCTAAAATCTCTCTCTCTCTCTCTACACTCCTCTCTTCTCCAGGTGCATACACTCTTATTATGACCCACATTTTGCATCTGACCCTTATTTTAATCCACATAATCCTTGAATTTATACAATTATATTCCCTCTTCTACTTCCATAACTGATCCTTCAACATTATTGCAAATAATATCATTGTAAATATTTACATGAAAACTATTTTTAGCAATTTTTTTTATCTCACTTAGGTACTGAAGGATTGGATATCAGATTGGAGGGAGGGAATATAGAAGAAGTGAATGTACTCAGACATTTGGGAATAGACTTGTCAGCAGATGGGTCTAAGAAAGATGAGGTGAATCATAGAATTGATGAGGAAAAAAGGTGAGTGCTGCACTGAGGAGTCTGTGGAGACAAAGAACATTATTTACGGAAGCAAAGAGGGTAATGTATGAGAGTATAGTTATATCAACATTCTTATATGGGTGCTGAATGTTGCAACAAGAAGGCTGGAAGCAGTGGAGATTTTGTGTCTGAGGGCAATGTGCAGTGTAACTATAATGCAGAGAATCCATAGTTTAGAAATTAGGAGGAGGTGCAGGGTTACTGAAATATTATCCAGAAGGCTGAGGAGAGGTTGTTGAGGTGGTTTGGACATTTAGAGAGGATGAAACAAAATAGAATGACTTGGGGAGCATATAAATCTGTAATGGAAGGAGGGTGGGGTAGGGGTCAGCCTAAGAAAGGTTGGAGGAAGGGGTTAAAGGAGGTTTTGTATGCGAGGGACTTGGACTTCCAGCAGGCGTGTGTGAGCGTGTTAGATAGGAGCAAGTGGAGACGAATGGTTTTTATGACTTCATGTGCTGTTGGAGTGTGAGCAAGGTAACATTTATTAAGGGATTCAGGGAAACTGGCAGGCCGGACTTAAGTCCTGGAGCTGGGAAGTACAGTGCCTGCACTCTGAAGGATGAGTGTTGATGTTGCAGTTTTTTAACCGTAGTGTAGGCATGCCTCTGGCAAGACAGTGGGGGAGTGTATGATGATGATGAAAGCATTTCTTCTTTATCAGGTCACCCGGCCTTGGTGGGAAACAGCCAACGTGCTAATAAAAAATAAATCTATTTTATCACCAACTGCATTCATTTTATGTGTGAAAGGTTCATGTTACTTTGGTAGAGATTGCCCAAAATCTGTAGATTTATTATAATTTTTATTAAAATGAATTAGGTTATTTTGTCTAGTGCTGGCCAACTTATAAATGCCATATGTGAAAATTCCTAGGTAGTAGGTTGTTAAACAGCAACTGCCCAGGGAGGTACAATACTACCCTCCTGCCAAGTGAGTGTAAAACATAATGGTAGGATTGCTGGTGTCTTTTTTTGGTGTCTCATAAACATGTAAGATTTCAGGTACATCTTGTTGCTTCTACTTACACTTAGGTCAAACTACACATGCATGTACAAGCATATGTATACACCCCCCATTGGGTTTTCTTCTATTTTCTTACTAGTTCTTGTTCTTATTTCCTCTTATCTCCATGGGAAAGTAGAACAGAATTTTTCCTCTGTAAGCATGCGTGTCGTACGAGATGACTAACATGCCGGGAGCAAGGGGCTAGAAACCCCTTCTCCAGGTAAAAAGAGAAACTTGTTTTTCTTTTTGGGCCACCCTGCTTCAGTGGGATATGGCTGGTTTGATGAAAGAAGAATATTTTTCATATACATTATACACACCTACCCACCTGCCACAGCACCATAAACGGAGGACAGTGGTGTTCGGTCTGTGTTCAAACACCTAGAGAAAACTCGAGTGATGCGTGTCTGCAGACCGTTTGTTGTAGTGTTATAATTTTTGCAGATCTGTGAGATAAGACGAGCAGCAAAATCTCTTAGAGCCCAATGATTGTCCATATCGGGTTTCATGCAAAGTTGGCGGCTTACAATGCATGTCATTACTGAGGGAACCAGTTCATGCATCTGTAAAAGCATTAATAGTCAAATCAGAAAGTCAGTCAAAAACTAGATAGCCAAGTCAAGATTACTCTACAGTATTCATTAAGTCATCCAGTTATAAAATAATTAACTTTCCACATCCAAGTTTTGTATTTTTCTGATTGAAATTAGGAATATTTGCTTTTCTTTGTAAAAGACATAATTTCAGAGGTAATGGTGAAAGGAAAATTTAACAAAGCTTTTGTTATTCTCTCTTTCCAGCAGAATGTGTGCCACTCTCCTTAAACTAACACCATGTTTTACTTGATTCAGGTATGTATTATATAACTTCTGCATTCAAGTTCAATGAACCACCATAGGAATCTGTTAGTTTATCCTCTATAACAGTAGGACATCTTGATTACCTTCTAACATGCATAGGTGCAGTACTTCATTCTCAAATGTCTAAGTTTATTCTCTAATTTGTTGGTTATTTATGAATTGTTCCAGCCATAGTATGTGTTAAAAATAATAATAATAATAATGTGAATATGTACTATATTGTAGTCATATGATGTCATGATGAGCTGTTATAATACATATGTATATAATGTGATAATAGTTCTGATGGTGAATGAAGCCAATGAAGACTTTGGTTCTAAGAAGCACTATGATTAAAAAGTGTACAGCAAAAAAATTAAAGCCCACATTCTCTCTAGCTGTTTTTCTTAAGAGAAAAATAAGCCCTAAGCATATGCTACAAGCAAATATCATAGCTGTACCATCTCAGTGAGCAAAATTACAAGAAATCTATCTCTGACAGCAATTTAACTGGCAAATGATGAAATCTAAATTTAAAGATAAAAACTAACGACATCAGATACAAAAATGAGTAAACAAATCAACTTACATATTTTTCCAGGTACAGTGTTTGGTTATCAAGGAGAGCCTTTGCCATTCTCATCAAGTAAATAAGAAGCGCCAAATTCTTCTGTACAACATTCACCCGAATACCCTCAGCAATGAAGGTGCTGAGTCGTGGTACCATTTGGTGGAGGCCAGGATCAAATGCCAAACTGTGAAGGGCTTCCTGAAATATGAATACATTGTCAGAATGATCTCATTAAGACCAGCTCTAATATAGGTACAGTAAACTTGAAAAATAAACAGCAATGCTACAAGAGAGGTTTGAAGACCAAATGTGTTAAACTTTATCTTGAGAAAGTTATAAAGCAGGTGGGCAGTCACTCCTAAATTTATACACCTGCTAGATGAGGAATTTTTTGAAGAGTTACCATTGAGTTAAGGTCCAATTGCATTATATGCTTGTGGTACAGTGTGTAATGTTTCCAACTTGCTATTGTGTTAGTTAAGTGAATAATCTTAACATTAATCTTTGTATGTCTTCACTGCAGACAGACCCAAAATATGGAACAGAATACCAACAGCAATCAGCACTTATACTGTAAAATCCTAATTAAATTAATAAAAAAAAATCTTAACTATGCCTAAACTCCAGCTTTCAAACTACAAAGCTGTATTACTATTTTGAAATCATAAACTGAAATCACTTTCAAGCTTTTGTATGCAATGTTCTCCCATGAATGCAATGCAGCTCCTCATATTTCTCCCTCTAAAATAGCTCCTACCTCAATTGCAACTATTGCATAACCTTAGTCAAAATATATACAGTATCTATCAATATTTACAGAAGTAATTATAATACTGCACTGTAATTATGACTATTTTGCAATTAAATATAATGAAAGTTACTAAAAGTTATTTTAGCTATGATAAATATACAGTATCGGGAGCAAGGGGCTAGTAATCCCTTCTCCTGTATATATTACTAAATTTAAAAAAACAAACTTCATTTTTCCTTTTGGGTCACCCTGCTTTGGTGGGATACAGCCGGTTTGTTGAAAGAAGAAGAAATATCCAGTATACAGAATAACCATACAAAGCAATTTATATCTAAATTTTCCTTGTCTTTATACATCTTTCTTACAAATGTCAATTGTAACCAGGTTTAAGCATTATTTAAAAGAGATGTGACCTCTAAAACATAAAACAAACACAAATCTGGAACAAAATTATTATTTAGACAGGCTTACATATCAGCAAATTCTGAATTATGGGAACCTAACTATTACAAATTGGGTTGTTTGACTGTATATTAAATTTCTTACAACAAGTCTTCCCTGAAATACTGTGTTTACTTGCCAATTCAATAGTCATTATTCTGTAAACAACTTACCTTTGCAAACCTTGTCAAATTATAATCATCAATGTTAATCTTTGATTCTATGTGTAATTTTGTATGATATACAGTTATGTTATAATAAGTGTATGCACCTGGAGAAGAGAGGAGTGTAGAGGAAAGAGAGATTTTAGATGTTAAGTGAGCATTTAGGAACTTCTGAACCAAGTGAGAGAGTAATTGTGGTAAGGGATCTAAATGCTAAAGTGGGAGAAACAGTTAGAGAGGGTGTGGTAGGTAAGTTTGGGGTGCCAGGTGTAAATGATAATGGGAGGCCTTTGATTGAACTTTGTATAGAAAGGGGCTTGGCAATAGGTAATACATATTTAAAGAAAAAAGGATAAGTAAGTATACAAGGGCATAATGACAGTAGTTTGCTGGACTATGCATTGGTAAATAAAACACTGATGGGTAGACTTCAGGATGTACATGTTTATAGAGGGGCCACAGATAATATAGATTATTTTTTATTTGAAGCTACGGTGAGAGTAAAAGGTAGATGGAATATGTACAAGGAGAATGGAATCACCAAGTAAGAGAGAGAGGTGAAGGTTTACAAACTAGAGGAGGCAGTTAGGGTAAGATATAAACAACTACTTGAAGAAAGATGGGCTAGTGAGAGTATAGGCAATGAGGCTGAAGAGGTATGAGGTAGACTTAACCCTTTGAGTGTCACGATCCCTGCTCGCAAACTTGCTCACAGGGTTGAAGAATTAAAAAAAAAAAAAAAAATGGCTGTTTAACATATTTATAGATGGGGTTGTAAAAGAAGTAAATGCTAGGGTGTTTGGGAGAGGGGTGGGATTAAATTATGGGGAATCAAATACAAAATGGGAATTGACAAAGTTGCTTTTTGCTGATGATACTGTGCTCATGGGAATTCTAAAAAAAAACTGCAAAGGTTAGTGGATGAGTTTGGGAGTGTGTGTAAAGGTAGAAAGTTGAAAGTGAACATAGAAAAGAGAAAGGTGATGAGGGTATCAAATGATTGAGATAAAGAAAAATTGGATATCAAATTGGGGAGGAGGAGTACGGAGAAGTGAATGTTTTCAGATAGTTGGGAGTTGACGTGTCGGCGGATGGATTTATGAAGGATGAGGTTAATCATAGAATTGATGAGGGAAAAAAGGTGAGTGGTGCATTGAGGTATATGGGGAACCGGTTATTTTTATATAGCCGGACTTGAGTCCTGGAAATGGGAAGTACAATGCCTGCACTCTAAAGGAGGGGTTCGGATATTAGCAGTTTGGAGGGATATGTTGTGTATCTTTATAGGTATATGCTTCTAAGCTGTTGTGTTCTGAGCACCTCTGCAAAAACAGTGATTATATGTGAGTGAGGTGAAAGTGTTGAATGATGATGAAAGTATTTTCTTTCTTTTTTTGGGTCACCCTGCCCCGATGGGAGACAGCCGACTTGTTAAAACAAAAATAAATAAATAAATAAATAAATAAATTAAATAATTAATAATATATATATATATATATATATATATATATATATATATATATATATATTATATAATATATATATATATATATATATATTATATATATATATTTTATTATTATTATTATCACACCGGCCGATTCCCACCAAGGCAGGGTGGCCCGAAAAAAAGAAACTTTCACCATCATTCACTCCATCACTGTCTTGCAGAAGGGTGCTTTACACTACAGTTTTTAAACTGCAACATTAACACCCTCCTTCAGAGTGCAGGCACTGTACTTCCCATCTCCAGGACTCAAGTCCGGCCTGCCGGTTTCCCTGAATCCCTTCATAAATGTTACTTTGCTCACACTCCAACAGCACGTCAAGTATTAAAAACCATTTGTCTCCATTCACTCCTATCAAAACACGCTCACGCATGCCTGCTGGAAGTCCAAGCCCCTCGCACACAAAACCTCCTTTACCCCCTCCTCCAACCCTTCCTAGGCCGACCCCTACCCGCCTTCCTTCCACTACAGACTGATACACTCTTGAAGTCATTCTGTTTCGCTCCATTCTCTCTACATGTCGAAACCACCTCAACAACCCTTCCTCAGCCCTCTGGACAACAGTTTGGTAATCCCGCACCTCCTCCTAACTTCCAAACTACGAATTCTCTGCATTATATTCACACCACACATTGCCCTCAGACATGACATTCCACTGCCTCCAGCCTTCTCCTCGCTGCAACATTCATCACCCACGCTTCACACCCTTATAAGAGCGTTGGTAAAACTATACTCTCATACATTCCCTCTTTGCCTCCAAGGACAAAGTTCTTTGTTTCCACAGACTCCTAAGCGCACCACTCACTCTTTTTCCCTCATCAATTCTATGATTAACCTCATCTTTCATAGACCATCCGCTGACAGTCAACTCCCAAGTATCTGAAACGTTCACTCCTCCATACTCTCTCTCCTCCAATCTGATATTCAATCTTTCATTCACTAAATCTTTTTGTTATCCTCATACCTTACTCTTTTCCTGTTTCACCTTTAATTTTCTTCTTTTGACACACCTACCAAATTCATCCACCAATCCTTGCAACTTTCTTTCAGAATCTCCCATAGAGCAGTGTCATCAGCAAAAGAGCAGCTGTGTCAATTCCCACTTTGTGTGTGATTCTTTATCTTTTAATCCACGCCTCTTGCCAAAACCCTCGCATTTACTTCTCTTACAACCCCATCTATAAATATATTAAACAACCACGGTGACATACACATCCTTGTCTAAGCCTACTTTTACTGGGAAAATTTCCCTCTTTCCTACATACTCTAACTTGAGCCTCACTATCTCGTAAAAACTCTTTACAGCTTTAGTAACCTACCACTACACCATACACTTGCAACATCTGCCACATTGCCCCCTATCCACCTAGTCATAGCCTTTTCAAATCCATAAATGCCACAAAAGACCTCTTTAGCCTTATCTAAATACTGTTCACATTATATGTTTCATGTAAACACTGGTCCACACACCCCTACCTTTCTAAAGCCTCCTTGTCATCCGCTATCCTACATTCTCCGTCTTACTCTTAATTCTTTCAATTATAACTCTACCATACACTTTACCAGGTACACTCAACAGACTTATTCCCCTATAATTTTTGCAGTCTCTTTTGTCCCCTTTGCCTTTATAAAAGGGACTATGCATGCTCTCTGCCAATCCCTAGGTACCTTCCCTCTTTCATACATTTATTAACAAAGACCAACCACTCCAACACTATATCCCCCCTGCTTTTAACATTTCTGTCATGTATCCCATCAATCCCGGCTGCCTTTTACCCCCTTTCATTTTCCCGTACTGCCTCACGAACTCCCCCACACTCACAACTGCTCTTCCTCACTCCTACAAAGATGTTTTACCTCCTTGCCCATACATGAAATACTGCCTTTCCTTCTTCATCAACATTTAAAATTCCTCAAAATATTCTCGTCCATCTTCCTAATACCTCTAACTCTCCATCTAATAACTCTCCCTCCTATTTTTAACTGACAAATCCATATTTTCCTTAGGCTTTCTTAACTTGTTTAACTCACTCCAAAATTTTTCTTATTTTCAAAAAATTTGTTGATAACAGTCTCTCCCACTCTATCATTTGCTCTCTTTTTTCACTCTTTCACCACTCTCTTTACCTTTCTTTTTCTCCATATATCTCCCCCCTTCATACACTTCTACTTTGTAAAAACTTTCTCATATGCTACTTTTCTCTTCCTTCACACCCCTTTTACTTCATCATTCCACCAATCATCCTCTTTCCTCCTGCACCCACCTTCCTATAACCACAAACTTCTGCCCAAACACTCTAAATACTTTTTTAAACATACCCAACCTCTTCGACCCCCCCATTCTACTCTCATTAGCACTATCCTCCAATAGCGTTTATATCTACCAACTGCCTCCTCCCTTAGTTTATAACCTTTCACCCCCTCTCTTACTTGTTTGCTTGCATATTCCCCCTTTTCCCATCTACCTTTACTCTCAGTATAGCTACAACTAGAAAGTGATCTGATATATCGTGGCCCTCTATAAACATGTACATCCTGGAAAGCCTACTCAACCTTTTATCTACCAATACATAATCTAACAAACTACTTTCATTTCGTCCTACATCATATCGTGTATATTTATTTATCCTCTTTTTCATAAAATATGTATTACTTATTAACCAAACCCTTTCTTATACAAAGTTCAATCAAAGGGCTCCCCATTTCATTTACACCTGGCACCCCAAACTTACCTACTACACCCTCTCTAAAAGTTTCTCCACTTTAGCATTCAAGTCCCACCACACAAATTTCTCTCCACTTGGTTCAAAGCTCCCACATTCACTTAACATTCTCCCAAAATCTCTCTCTCTCCTTCACTTCCTCTCTTCTCCAGGTGCATACACGCTTATTATGACCCACTTTTCACATCCAACTTTACTTTTAATCCACATAATTCTTGAATTTAACATTCTATATTCTCTTTTCTCCTTCCATAGCTTATCATTAACATTACTGCTACCCTTCCTTTGCTCTAACTCTTGATACTCCAGATTAATCCCATTTATTCCCCCACTGAAACTCTCCCACCCCCTTCAGCTTTGTTTCGCTTAGGGCCAGGACATCCAACTTCTTTCTCATTCATAACATCGCAATCATCTGTTTCTTGTCATCCGCACTAACATCCACGCACATTAAGCTACCCAGTTTGTATAAAGTTTTCTTCTTCTTATTCTTTTTAGTAATTTATACAGGAGAAGGGGTTACTAGCCCATTGCTTCCCGGCATTTTAGTCGCTCATACAACACGCATGGCTTACGGAGGAAAGATTCTTTTCCACTTCCCCATGGACATAGAAGAAAATAATAAGACAAGAGCTATTAGAATAAAAAGAAAAAACCCTAGATGATGTATATATAAATGTGTATATGTCTGTGAAGTGTGACCTAAGTGTAAGTAGAGAGTAGCAAGATATCCTGTTATCTTAGCATAGTTTATGAGACAGAAAAAGAAACCAGCAATCCTACCATCATGCAAAACAGTTACAGGTTTTTGTTTCAAGTCATCTGGCAGGACGGTAGTACTTCCCTGGTGGTTGCTGTCTACCAACCTACTACCTAATATATATATATATAATATAATATATATATATATAATATATATATTATATATAATATTAAGTATATTTTATATATATATATATACTCACACACTCACACCACACACACAACACAACACACACACAACACATGTAATGAAACCAAAAGTACAAAATTTGATGGAAAGCTTATGGAATTATGCTCTCGTGAATTTAGCAGTCTCGCGATATTTATGCATCAGTGACTTCACCCACTTTGAGCTCTATTTTGAGCCAATTCCATTGTTCCAGTCGATCAAACTTATAGCTATTTTGCTAGAACTCCTTTTATTCTACCAAATGAGTACAAGAAACAGCCCATTTACCTATTTCAATTACCCAATAAAGTGATCAGAAATTACTAATTCGGCCAATTTCACACAAAATTCAAGAAAGGCCAATTTCAAAATAGGGTCCAGAATAAATAATTCAGACATTCCTGGCACTAAAATAACATTTTCTCTGTTCATCAGTCATGTGTCCAGGCCCCTCTTATATTATGCTGGCTTTTCCTTTTGAATTTTTATTCACACAATAAATAGAAAATTTACTGTTATTCAGACTACTGCATAATAATTGTATAAATAACAACAGTGCATTTGTTAAGGCATATTAGACCCACCAGCTGACCTGTATTGGACATGTGATGTGATTTGTTTACTCTTGAACACCAGCAAAAAGCAAACATTTCCACTATTTTGAACTCGATATCAAGCTACTTTTAGTCTGTAAACCATTAAAAATCATCTTTATTTTTGTAGCATATCTTTCAGTCTACCAAAAACACGGTCGTAGTTTTTTTTTTTTTTATCTCATTATGCACTGTGTGCTTCAGGATTTTTTTTGTACTGCTCACACTAACCATGCAGACCCATTCTCTCACATGTAGGCCTACCAATTTTCTCCCTCAAGATCTGAAGCTGCTAGAATTTTGGTGTAGTATTGTGGGACTGACACTGGCTTCAAAACTGTAATATTACAGGACCAATACAAAAGGGGTTATGAATATAGTGTTAATGTTCAACAGATGTTTGGGTTACAGGAAAGTGGGTGCGGGAAGGAAGAAGAGCGAATGGTGAAATGGTGAGGTAAAGAGAGTAGCAAGAGAGAAAAACTTAGGGAGTGGACTTTTCAGAAGATGGGTCTATGAAAGATGAAGTGAATCATAGAATTGATGAGAGAAAAAAGGTGAGTGCTGCACTGAGGAGTCAAAGAAACAAAGAACGTTATCCACGGAAGGGAATGCATGAGGGTATTGTTATACCAACGCTCTTATCTGTGTGTGAAGCATGGGTGATAAATTTTGAAAGATTCATCACCCATGCAACAAGGAGAAGGCTGGAGGCAGTGGAGATGTCATGTCTGAGGGTAATGTGCGGTGTGAATATAATGCAGGGAATCCGTAGATTGGAAATTAGGAGGAGGTGCAGGGTTACCAGAGGGCCGAGGAAGGGTTGCCGAGATGGTTCAGACATTTAGAGAGGATGGAATGAAATAGAATGACTTTGCGGGCATATAAATCTAATACGCTCATGCAAGTGTGCATGAGCGTATTAGATAAGAGTAAATGGAGACAAATGGTGTTTGACTTGACGTGTTGTTAGAGTGTGAGCAAAGTAACTGGAAAACCAGACTTAAATCTTGGAGGTGGGAAGTGTAGTGAATGCACTCTGAAGGAGAGGTGTTTATGTTGCAGTTTTTTAACTGTAGTGTAGGCATGCCTCTGGAAAGACAGTGATGGAATGAATGATGATGAAAGTGTGCCTTCTGTTTTGGGTCACTCTGCTTTGGTGGGAAATGGCTGACGTGATAATAAACAAAATACAGTACTTCTGGAAATCTTTCAGAATAATGATATTTATGCTCTTAAAATTAATCTGTGTAGGTTTTCAGTACAGACAGATCCAAAATATGGAACAGATTACTAACAGCAATCAACACTTGTACTGTAAAATTCCAGTTAACAAAAAAAATTCTTAAGAAGTGTAGATATGAGGGAAAAACTGTGCTTTTTGCAACTAACCCACAATTTGGAGATAAAATTTTATACCACATTTCTTTCCAGTCTATCATCACCAATTCTCAACTCAATAATGGTCCAAGACTGACTATGGTTTCTTATCTAAATTGTGGGTTAGCTGTGAATTGTTCTAGCCAAGGAACTGTGATTTTTATTTTTCAAATCTAGGCTGGATTGCACTGTGACACAATTATAGATCTTACTGTTAAAGTGCTGCATATGGCTGGCAGGTAATGTATGAAAAGAATTAGTCAAGAATATGACTTTTATTATATATTTTTCAATGTCCCAATGATAAAATCAAGAACTGATTTGTCTGTTGATTTAATCAGAGTATGGTGATACTAAGAACATGAGTGCTCATCATTCAAGAGCATACTAAAAGTATGCATACTAGAAATGTGCATACTAGAAGTATGCACATTTCATAATTCAAATAACAATCCAATAAAATTGTATAGTGAAAATGTAATATATAAAACAACAGTCAAAGTTTCTTACCCCTCTCTTTGGTTCATCAGATCCTACACAAGCTTCTGTAATCTCCTTGTAATACAGTTGCTGCTCAGCGGAGAGTTCATGGGTAGCCAACTGTTTGACCTTCACAGTTTCAATACTCTTCATTCCACGCCTGAGATTCAATAGTCTCAAGTTACTGAATATCAAAAATGTATAAAAATGACACAAGATAGTTGGTTCTCTAACTTATGAGGTTTAAAAGACCTCATAAGTTAGAGAAAATCATTATTAATGAATGTTGGTCTCTAGTTATAAACAGATATGACAATAATTATTCTTTTCACTAACATTTTTCTAGGAAAAGTCCAGTGTAACAAACAATTCATTTTTAAGTCAGAACACAAGGAATGCAACTCTTCTCATAACCTTGGATTCCGATGTAAACTATAAAAACATCCGTTTGCTAAGTGTGGAGAATATCTCCAGAAGGTGGATAAAAATATGAACAAATAATTTCATAGATTTGGTCACCTCATGGATATAATAAGTTAAATACACATTGGTAAAAAACATTTTACTTCAAGTTGACAGTAAATGAGTAATCCTATTTATTATACACAATCCTAGAGAGTAAAACGAAAAGAGTTAAATATTTCAGTTAAATACACTATATTAAACTTAAAATTAGTTTTTCAGGATATACTGTACACTCCACAGGTGAAAATTAGACATGTGCAACATCTGGATATCTTTACTGTTGACATTTTGCCATCCAGTGGCTTTGTCAATACAAATTCAAGGATATGAATGGAAGACAAAAGAACTATATACAAAAGATGAGGTAATCAGTCCCTCAGACTTGGAGTTGGTGTGAAGAGCACCATAGTTGTGAAGATTCTTGAGCACAGGCAAGAAGGCTAGTGCTCATATACTGTTCTGAGGTGGAAAGGGATGGATAGCAGATGAGGGCATAGTCACTGGTAGGTGGGATTCCCCAGTAGAAGTAGGTCATACCCAAGGGATGGGTTGGTGGTAGTGGTAGTAGTAGTAGCCATGAAGAAGGTTATGTAGATGTCCTCTGAACCAAGATTCCATGATGTTGCGGTGTCTGACAAGTTGTATATGAATGGTATACATTCATGTCCTTGAATTTGTATTGATAAAGCCACTGGATGGCAAAACGTCTACAATAAAGTTACCCAGATGTTGCCCATGTGTGTAATTTTCATCTTGTCAGTATTGTATACCATTCATGCCACAGGTGGCATTTGAAATTCCTTTCACTCATTTCAACAGACTTTTTTTTTTTTTAACAAGTCAGCCGTCTCCCACCGAGGCAGGGTGACCCAAAAAGAAAGAAAATCCCCAAAAAGAAAATACTTTCATCACCATTCAACACTTTCACCTCACTCACACATAATCACTGTTTTTGCAAAGGTGCTCAGAACACAACAGCTTAGAAGCATATACCTATAAAGATACACAACATATCCCTCCAAACCGCTAATATCCCAAACCCTTCCTTTAGAGAGCAGGCATTGTACTTCCCATTTCCAGGACTTAAGTCCGGCTATATAAAAATAACAGGTTTCCTTGAATTCCTTCACTAAACATTACACTGCTCACACTCCAACAGATAGTCAGGTCCCAAATACCATTCATCTCCATTCACTCCTATCGAACACGCTCATGCATGCCTGCTGGAAGTCCAAGCCCCTCACCCACAAAACCTCCCTCACCCCTTCCTTCCAACCTTTTCAAGGATGATCCCTACCCTGCCTTCCTTCCCCTACAGATTTATACGCTCTCCATGTCATTCTACTTTCATCCATTCTCTGTAAATGACCAAACCACTTCAACAAACCCTCTTCAGCCCTCTGACTAATACTTTTATTAACTCCATACCTTCTCCTAATTTCCACACACCGAATTTTCTGCATAATATTTACACCACACATTGCCCTTACACAGGACATCTCCACTGCCTCCAACCGCCTCCTCGCTGCTGCATTCACAACCCAAGCTTCACACCCATATAAGAGTGTTGGTACTACTATACTTTCATACTTTCCCCTTCTTTGCCTCCATAGATAACATTTTTTTGTCTCCACATATACCTCAATGCACCACTCACCTTTTTTTCTCTCATCAATTCTATGATTAACCTCATCCTTCATAAATCCATCTGCCGACACGTCAACTCCCAAGTATCTGAAAACATTCACTTCTTCCATACTCCTTCTCCCCAATTTGATATCAAATTTTCTTTATCTAAATCATTTGATATCCTCATCACCTTACTCTTTCCTATGTTCACTTTCAACTTTCTACCTTTACACACACTCCTAAACTCATCCACTAACTTTTGCAATTTTTCTTTAGAATCTCCCATAAGCACAGTATCATCAGCAAAAAGCAACTGCATCAATTCCCATTTTTTATTTGATTCCCCATAATTTAATCCCACCCCCCTCCCCCGAACACCCTAGCATTTACTTCTTTTACAACCCCATCTATAAATATATTAAACAACCATGGTGACATTACACATCCCTGTCAACAGATATTACTGTCAAAACCTCTTTCCTGGTATAAATTACTAAATATAAAAAAGAAGGAAACTTTAATTTTTTTTTTTTTTTTTTGGGTCACTCTGCCTTCGTGGGAGATGGCTGGTGTGTTAAAAAAATGACAGTCAACAACTTGATTTCAGAAAATTAATCAACCTCTCCAAAGATGTGACACTCATCCTCTCAGCTTCTCATGCAAAGATGGAACATCCATAGTAATACAAAAAGAGAACACTATTTATTACTTTCAGCTACTGATACTATTGCAAAATTTACCATATTTTTCAATCCCCCCAGGAACTACCCTGGATGAAAGCATCCCAAGAATCTACATAAACCTTAATATATATCCACCTTGCCTATAATACCAATTCCTTATACCTTTGCACTAACTATTAAAAAATAAGGCCTGAATATGGTACTTTACCACCAGTGATTTACTGGAGGGAATTTTTTTTTTTAACAAGTTGGCCTTCTCCCACCGAGGCAGGGTGACCCAAAAATAAAGAAAATCCCCAAAAAGAAAATACTTTCATCATCATTCAACACTTTCACCTCACTCACACATAATCACTGTTTTTGCAGAGGTGCTCAGAACACAACAGTTTAAAAGTATATACGTATAAAGGTACACAACATATCCCTCCAAACTGCTTATATCCCGAACCCCTCCTTTAGAGTGCAGGCATTGTACTTCCCATTTCCAGGACTTAAGTCCGGCTATATAAAAATAACCAGTTTCACTGAAACCCTTCACTAAATATTACCCTGCTCACACTCCAACAGATCGTCAGGTCCCAAATACCATTCGTCTCCATTCATTCCTATCGAACACGCTCGTGCACGCCTGCTGGAAGTCCAAGCCCCTTGCCCACAAAACCTCCCTTACCCCTTCCTTCCAACCTTTTCGAGGACGACCCCTGCCCCGCCTTCCTTCCCCTACAGATTTAAATACTCTCCATGTCATTCTACTTTCATCCATTCTCTCTAAATGACCAAACCACCTCAACAACCCCTCTTCAGCCCTCTGACTAATACTTTTATCAACTCCACACCTTCTCCTAATTTCCACACACCAAATTTTCTGCATAATATTTACACCACACAATGCCCTTAGACAGGACATCTCCACTGCCTCCAACCGCCTCCTCGCTGCTGCATTCACAACCCAAGCTTCACACCCATATAAGAGTGTTGGTACTACTGTACTTTCATACATTCCCTTCTTTGCCTCCATAGATAACGTTTTTAGTCTCCATATACCTCAACGCCCCACTCACCTTTTTTCCCCTCATCAATTCTATGATTAACCTCATCCTTCATAAATCCATCCGTCGACACGTCAACTCCCAAGTATCTGAAAACGTTCACTTCTTCCATACTCCACCTCCCCAATTTGATATCCAATTTTTCTTTATCTAAATAATTTGATACCCTCATCACCTTACTCTTTTCTAGGTTCACTTTCAACTTTCTACCGTTACACACACTCAAACTCATCCACTAACCTTTGCAATTTTTCTTTAGAATCTCCCGTAAGTACAGTATCATCAGCAAAAAGCAACTGTGTCAATTCCCATTTTGTATTTGATTCCCCATAATTTAATCCCACCCCTCTCCCGAACACTTTACTTCTTTTACAACCCCATCTATAAATATATTAAACAACCATGATGACATTACACATCCCTGTCTAAGACCTATTTTTACAAAGAAGAGAAATGTAGAATTTTCCAAGCAATTTAACCTACAAGGTCAATCAGCACTTTGACCCACAAGGCCATTCAGTGCTTTGACCTAAAAGGTCAGTAAGGGCTTTTGATAAATTTGAAATTCATTAACCCTTTGACTCTTTATGTCATATATATATATGTCTTACATGCCATTGTTTCTAATGTATTAATACGTGAAAATTCTAGCGGCTTCAAATCAAGCACGAGAAAGCTGGTAGGCCCACATGTGAGAGAATGGGTCTGTGTGGTCAGTGTGCACCACATAAAAAAAATCCTGCAGCATGCAGTGCGTAATGAGAAAAAAAAACGGACCGTTTTTTTTAATTAAAACACCGACTTTGAGGTGTATTTTCATATAGTATTTATGGTTGTATTCTCATTTTCATGGTCTCAAGTGATAAAATGGAAAACATATTACAGAAATAGAGATGATTTTGATTACTTTCACGATGAAAACAACCTTGAAATTGAGCTTAAAATAGCGGAAATGTTCGATTTTTACCAATGTTCAGGAGTAAGCAAATCACACTACATGTCCAATACACATCAACTGGGGAGTCTAATATTCTTTCACTAGCGCACTTATATTATTTATACCATTTTTACAATAATGCAGTAGTCTGCATACTAGTAAATTTTGTATTTTTTTGTATGAATAAAAAATCAAAATAGAAAGCAATAGTAATATTTTGAAACTGGCATCTTTTTAATTTGTGTGAAATTGGCCAAATTGCCAATTTCTGACCACTTTATTGGGTAGTTCAAATCGGTAAATGGGCGGTTTCTTGTATTCAACTGATAGATAAAATGGAGTTCTAAAGAAATAGCTATGAGTTTGGTCAACTGGGACAATGAAATTGGCTAAAAACAGGGCTCAAAATCTGCGAAATCGCCGATACGTATATGTCGCCAAGACCGCTAACTGCATGGGAGCGTAATTCCGTGAGTTTTTGACCAAATTTCATACTTTTGGTGTCATTACCATCAGGAAAAGATTCTCTATCATTTCATAAGAAAAAATAATTTTTTTTTCCAAAAATTTATCGACATAGAATGACAGTTTCAGAAAGGGGCCTGCGACAGTCAAAGGGTTAATACACACTATCTCTTACAAGTCAAGACTTATACATTACAAAAGGAAAAAAATCACACCAACAAATAAACAACAAAAACTAAACAGCATCACACCAGATTAAAATAACCCACATCCATTTAAAAACCTATAAAACTGTTAACACCAAAAAGACTTAAATTTCTAAAGGATTCTACAGGTACCCCTAGATACAAAGATGAGGACACCAAAATGTCAATAGAGTACATACAACAACCACAAATAAGAAACCTACCAGTTCTTTTCAAAATATTTAAATCAGTTATTTACAGCCAACTAAATGTCTACATCTAACAGCAACACATTATTGATCCCTACTGCCAATTTGCTTTCAGACCCAGAACACTAATGATGCTATTCTTAAAACAGTAAACATAACCCACACAGCACCTGAAAATAATAAATTATCAGTGGATTATTAACTGATGTACAAAAAAATTTTGACATTGTACATCAAAATTATAAAATATTGTTAATTAACGTACAGCAGAATTGTATGAGGATTTTTTTTTATTAACACCAAGGCAGGGTGGCCCAAAGAAGAAAAACTTTTGTCATTATTCACTCCATCACTGTCTTGCCAGAGGCATGCTTACACTACAGTTATAAAACTGCAACATTAACACCCCCTCCTTCAGAGTGCAGGAACTGTACTTCCCATCTCCAAGACTCAAATCCAGCCTGCTGGTTTCCCTGAATCCCTTCATAAATGTTACCTTGCTCACACTCCAACAGCACGTCATGTCCTAAAAACCATTTGTCTCCATTCGCTCCTATCTAAGGCGCTAACGCATGCTTGCTGAAAGTCCAAGCCCCTCGCACACAAAACCTCCTTTACTCCCTCCGTCCAACCTTTCCTATGCCGACCCCTACCCCACCTTCCCTCCACTCCAGATTTATACACTCTCAAAGTCATTCTATTTTGTTCCATTCTCTCTACATGTCCGAACCAGGAATCAGGAATTATGCCTAAATTTTACTCTTTCCTACCTAACCAACAGATGCCAAAATTTAACCTTAAATGACCACACTCAGCTGCAATGTCAACAAATGCTATTTTTCCCTCGACAGTATATTTGCTCCTCTCTTAGTCTACACATACATGAGTGAGTTTCCTAATAGCACCTACATCCTTTATCCCTGATCTCATCACTGTGAGCTACCTAGTCAATGGAGAACTACAAAATACCACATATGGATGTTAACCAATAAACTTACACTCTACATAAAAGTATCTAAAATATGTATATGATTTGAGAGGAAACAGGTAACCCAATAAACCTCAAAATAAATAAATTCCAAACAGAAAGCACACACACAAAAACAGAAAATTCCTAGGAATTATATCATTACACTCTTATCTTTCAAGGTATAAGCAATGCTTCTCAACCTATATATATAAAAACACAACACCAAAAGCTATCATAAAGATATTCATATATATGTTATTGATTTCTACATGATGCAATGACTAATGAATGTTTAAATTTTTGTCAACATTGTACAGAATATTGTAAGTAAATTTCTCAACATTCAGCAAAGAAAATCCAGAATAGAGCTCTCACCCATGAATGTGCTTTTGATCTTTATTATCTTGCTGTGCCAAGAGTTTAGTTGCTGGGTCCACTGCATCTTTCTTCTGAATATCTTTGGTGATTGGAGGGGGATTTTCTGGGATTGTAGGTTGTACCCCATCAATAGCCAACCAATGAGCTGAAATATTGATAAGGATACAATATAAAGTTCAAAATACTCCAATGAACTTATGCTTACAGCTTGCCCAAAGAAATTAAGAAAAAAAAAGAAACATAAATTAAGTACCTGAAGAAGTTACAGAAAAACCTTATTATTTCAGAAGTGTCAGCTAGTGATAGAGTAAATAACTGTAGGAGAGTCGGCATGTGATAAGGAAAATCAACAAAGGAGGAGTGCCTTAAATGTTGTAGTTGGTTAATACAGTGAAAATAAGATTTTACTAAAAAATCTTGATAATATTAACAGATCGTTCAAAGGATATTATTACTATATAATTATTAGATATTACCAGATAAAACTGACCATAGGAAAGAGCAAGGTGATGACTAACAAAATATTTAAGTAATGAAAGACTGGACATCACATTGGAAGGAGGGAGTATAGAGATAGTGAATATGCTCAGATATTTGGGAGTGGACTTGTCAGCTGATGCATGTACGAAAGATGAGATGAACCATAGAACTGAGGGGAAAAATGTGGGTGGTTCTCTGAGGATCTTAGGAGACATAGAACGTCATCCACAACAGCAAAAAGGGAATGCATCAGAATATAGTGGTACCAACACTCGTATATGGGTACGAAGCTAGAGTTTTAAACATTGTGGTGAGGAGGAAGCTGGAGGCATAGATGGTGTGCCTGAGGGAAATGTGTCGTGCAAATACGTATTATGCAGAGAATTCATGGTTTGGAGATTAGGAGGAGGCGCAGGATTACTAAAAGTATTATCCAGTGAGTTGGGGATGGGGTTAATGAGGTGGTTTGGAAATTTAGAGAGGTTGGAGAAAAGAAAGAATGAATTGGAAGGTGTATAAATCTGTAGTAAAGGAGAGGAGGGGTAGAGGTCATCCTAGGAAAGGCTGGAAGGAGGGAGATATAGGAGGTTTCGTATGTAAGAGACTTGGACACTGAACAGGCATATGTGAACATGGTAGATAGGAATGAAATGATTTTTATGATTTGATGTGCTGTTTAAGTGTGAGCAAGTTAACATTTATGAAGGGATTCACTTGAGTTCTAGAGATGAGAAGGGCAGTGCCTACATTTTAGAGCAGGGGTCGCCAACCTTGTTCTGCCTAGGGGCCAGAGCCCATGTCTGCGAGCAGATGGCTTGCCACACCTATTGCCATAGTTAATAAATAGAGGTAATAATAACACATACTACACCTTGACATATATTTAACATCATCTGAGCTATGGCCCCATTGACTGGATCCGGCCCACGGGCCATAGGTTGCCAACCCCTGCTCTAGAGGATGGAAGGAAATGTTACAGTCAAGAGCATAATCTGAATTGTGATGTCAGCACCCTTTCTGAAAGACAACCATTGAGTGAATGATGGTGAATATGTATTCTTTTCTGGGTTATCCTGCCTTGGCAGGAGACTGTCACTGAGGTAAAATAAAAAAAAAAGGTGCTAAAACTCTACCCAAAACAGGACTTGGAGCAACAGATTTTGATCAGATAAATTTAGATTTAGAAAGGATATAAGAAAGCCCTGGTTTGGCAGTGGAGTCGTAGATGAGCTTGACAAACTATCAGGTAGCATCACTAAGTGAGTACTTTGAGCTGCTTTAAAAATAGATTGAACAGGTGTATGAGCAGGAATGGCTGGGTGAGTGAGAACTGCCTAATATTGGCATACTGGCCTATGCTAGGCAGGTCTGCCTCATCTAAAGATAACAAAAAATGGTAGAATAAGATCATTTGATAACTTTAGAACTGTAATCTTCCATACTACATCACCCATTTCTCACTAAGATATGGTGACACAAAGAAGACAACACATTCATTCATTAATTATCTTACTAAAAATGCATGCACATCGCAGTTCAAATGACCATTGAAAATGCAACATCACCACTTTAGGAAACCTAAGTTTACTAAATTCAATAGCACACGAGAAAAAATTTGAATGGTTAAGTAGATACGTTTTATTGTTGTTTGTAGGGGAAGGCGAGGAGTCTGAGATGATACCATTTCATTAATTTCAATCTCCTTATCTTCTAAAAAATGTAGTTCTCGTCCACCACCAGAAGCAAACCGGAAAGGAATGTGTTCCACAGCCTGTAAGCCATACAGTGGCTGCAAAAGAAAACACAAAAGAAGTTATTTTGAATATAACAAAACTTCTGACATTCTGCATTCATATCTAAAATTTATAACTCATTTCCTGTAATCTTTAGCACTTCCATGGACACTTTAATGATCCCACTCCTCTTAACCACAAATTCTGATTCTCTCCTTCCATAGAACTTTTACTCTCACTAGTCCTTGTCTTCAAATACTGTACACCATTTTTTTTTTTTTGTCTTCTTCCACATTTTAAAGCCTGATCAATCCCAGCACTGCATACAAAAATTTTAATCCAGTCTGTTTCTACAGCCTATTTTGCCGTTAAGCATGATATTGCATAACATATAATCCATAAGTAATAAATGACTTATGAGAAAATAATACAATATGTTCTGTACACAATCTTGCAATGATCCTTTATATTTAGCATCTATATTTGCAGTGAAAGAGCATTTTTTTTATCTACATACATGAAAATAAAATGTGTGTCTTATTAAACTTATTTTATTTTATCGTTGCTAACAAGAAGTCTTGTTGAACAGTTAATCAACAAGGAAATGTGGCCTTGGGCCAGGCTGTGAGGAATAGAAAACCCTCAAAACTTTTACATGTAAAAAAACTTTCTAAATCTACATGATTATTTTTCATTCCACTGTACTGTAATTTTTATCCTGCCCAACACATTATTAATTTGATTTGTACATATGGTAATTAAATAATACTTCCAGCTAATTCCATTCTCTTGTAAGTTGTAACCAGATCTTATATAATATACATTTTCTCCAGCTTACCTGTCAATACTACGTATTAAGCTCATACGCTAAAAAGTTTTACACTCGTGTATTTCTTTTAGTAATAAGTAGTTTCGTCTTTAAATCTGCCCAAAATGCTATGCATAGTATGGGCTTTTCACAAAAAACTGAATAACTTGTGCATTTTTTCTGAAAATAAATTGAACTGTATTGTATAATAACATCCCCATACGTTTCAGAGTGAAGGCACTGTAAACCTCCATAATCTAACACACAATCAAAACTTATTGGAAAGTAACTGCCTTTATTGCACAGCATCACAAGCCAGCACTATCCTGAACACTGCTCAAAGTCTATCAGTTCTTAACTACAACATCAGGTTCTTAAGCAAACACTATGATGACCTCCTGGCACTCATTGAGTCACTAAAGACACCCTTCTCCTGCACTATTCTTACTGAGACTTGGCTTAAGCAGGACACAATGGTATCTACCCACTACCAGGATACACAGCAATCCACAAGCAGACCATACAAGTTGGGGTGTTACTGCAATTATTTCTCAAACCAACTATCTTTTAATAGCACTAATGCTTTAGTGATGAAATGGAATACATTTTTGCAATTTTACTGTAAAAAAACCTTTAAAGACGCCCCATAACAATCGGTGGCATTACCGGTACCCAAAACTAAAAAAATCCAAACTTCATTGGAATAGTCACTAATTTAACCAAACAGACAAATGAACAGCACAACCTCTTCTTAGCTGGGAAACTTCAATATCAACCTTGGCCTACTAGATGATCAGACCTGTAATTGATTTCATAAACAATTGACAATGAACTTCTCATACCAAACAATAACTAAACCAACCAGGCTCACTGAGACAATGCAAAACTCATAATAGACCAATATGGACCAATATACTAGCCACCCTTAAATCAGGGATAATCACAGACAGCATACTGACCATACCCAACCTTCTCTTAAAAACATTAGTAAGCCTACCACTCGAATACAACAAAAAGTTCAATTTAGACTCCATACAAGGCCTCAAACAGGAATTTCACAGCAACCTAGGACTGTTGACTGGCTACAAATTCTCCAATGCCATTGGTATTGACGATGGACAGACAAATTTTTCTTAACAATATAACAGTGTACTTAACTATAAAACAAACATTGTCCTATAAAAACGAAAAGATCACGATAAAACGGCTTGGTTGCCCATGGGATAACACAGCAGCATTCTGAAATCCATTGATAGAACACCAATATGAAAAGCATTATAGACAGGGCTAATACGCAAAGATATTCTTTAACAATATCAAAAGTTCTCACAAAGTAATAAAGAAGCCATACAACTTATACTCCAGCAGATTCACTGACACAGAGGAGATATAAAAAGACCTTGGAAAACACTTTCCAAGATTCTGAGACCCACAAACTTTTAAAAAAAAAAAAAAAACAAGAATATTGCTCTAACTAAACCTTATGAAACACCACTGCATCCCATGTACAGCTAACAGATAAATGATTTCTTCTCAAACATAGGATCTAATCTCACCAGTAAAATCCCAAACGTACCAATGCCCTGACTGGAGACTACCTAGATAGGAATTTACCCCAAATTCCTTCTATCTTGTACCACACTGAGCCCACGGAACGCCACACGCGATCATTAAGTCATTTTTGCCCTTAAGAATCGTAATGACCAGATGCGCGACGGGCCTTGGAGTTTGAGACTCTATGACGCGGGTTCAATCCGGCCGGAGTATGGTTTATTAAGTCATTTAAAAATAACTCGGGGAATCTGTCTCACGTTCCACCATTATTGTACAAGCGAGCGGCCCATGTCCTTTCGCATGCTATTACATTACTTTTTAACAAGTCACTAGAAACTAGCACTTTCCTGACACTACTCAAGACAGCAAGGGTTACACCAATACATAAAGGCGGTGACCCTACAGACGTAAACAACTATAGGGCAATATCAAACTTACCATTGCTATCCAAAATCTTCGAGAAACTCATGCACAGCAGACTATATTCATTTATAACGTCACAAAACATACTCAACCCCTGCCGATTTGGATTCAGAAAAAATAAAAGCACTAATGATGCAATTATAAAAATGCTAGACCTGCTTTACACAGCATTGGAAAATAAGGAATATCCACTAGGAATTTTTGTTGACCTAAGAAAAGCGTTTGACACAGTAGACCACGGCATCCTACTCCACAAACTTGACCACTATGGTATAAGAGGCCATGCGCTTGCATATTTTAAATCCTACCTTTCTAATAGGTATCAGTATGTCACCATTAAAGACACAGCCTCATCAATACAGCCACTTGATACTGGAGTTCCACAGGGAAGTGTCCTTGGACCCCTGCCTTTCCTCATTTACATCAATGATCTTCCAAACATATCCCAACACCTGAAACCCATTCTCTTTGCTGACAACACGACTTATGTCATCTCCCACCCTAATCTTGCCACCCTCAACACCATTGTTAACGAGGAGCTGCTCAAAATATCGACTTGGATGACAGCCAATAAACTTACACTTAACACTGGCAAAACCTACTATATTATGTTTGGTAGCAGAGCAGGTGTTGCGCAAACTTAACATTAAGATCGACAACACTCTAATTGCCAGACATAATGAGGGCAAATTCCTTGGCCTATAGCTCGACAACAACCTAAATTTCAGCACCCATATCCAACACATAACAAAAAAAGTATCCAAAACAGTGGGGATCCTCTCCAAGATACGATACTATGTACCGCAAACTACCATTCTCACAATATACCATTCACTTATATATCCATACCTCACCTATGCTATCTGTGCTTGGGGTTCAACTGCAGCAACACACCTAAAGCCAATAATAACCCAACAAAAAGCTGCAGTAAGAATAATCACTAAATCCCATCCCTGGCAACACCCCCCCCCCCACTCTTCATAGATCTAAACTTACTCCCTGTTCACAACATCCACACTTACTACTGTGCAATCTATATCTACAGGACCTTAAATTGTGACAGGATCCACAGGCATAACACCAGACACAAACATCTCTATGACATTCCCAGTGTTCGACTAAACCTTCACAAAAATTCAGTGTATTTCAAAAGACCTAAAATCTGGAACACCCTACCTGAAATCTCTAGAACTGCAGACACATTCATCACTTTCAAAACTACAGTTAGAAAACATCTTATCTCCCTGATCCACCCCGACAACTAACTACATGATAACCACCTGGTGGTTCAAAATTACACTCACTCACCCACTGACTATAAACCCAGAAATACTAATCTTAATCTTAAAATAAAAAATCCTAACTAGTCATAAGTTTGCCTATGATACTCAAATATAGATACCTTGTATTGTGCCAAAACAAAAGCATTCACATTGCTAAACTCACAAATTATGATGTAGTCACTTAGCCTTAATACCATAATCTGTAAGGATTTAATGTTAAGAATTAATCTAAGTCTGCTCGAAATGCCTAGCCATGCTAGGTGTCCTAGTGGCCCCCTCTGTAATTAGTATTTTATAACATGTAAACCACAAAATACCCAAAACCTGTAAACCCCACATTGTAACCATTATAGAGAATAAAATTGAATTGAATTGAATTGAATAAAGATCTTAAGCCCGGCTAACTGGCTTTTCTGAATCTTTTTCCAAATGTTACCTTGCTCACACTCCGACATGTTAAATCTCAATAACCAAATGTATACGTTATCTCTGATCAAATACTCTTACACGTGCCTGCTAAATGCTGAAGCCCCTATCACTCAAAAGCTCTTGTACCCCCTCCAAAATTCTGTAATTTATTAAACAAGATGACAAAGTAAACTTACCTCAATATTTTTCATTTTTAATACATGGTCAAAATCCGATGTTGAAAATCGTTTCCGTTTTCCGTGATGCATATACTTCATGCCATCCTGTAACAATATTTAAAATAACTATTATAGTGTTTCTCATGACAAACTTTATAAAAAATTATGCAGGAAAAAAATGATAGAGTACTGGAAAATGAATAATGGGTCAAAGGCCAGAATACCAAATGTTATAACAAATTCTCTCTGAAGAACACAGTGCACTTAAATCAGCTAACCTGTGCTTAATATATATAGCTTAATTATATATTTAATTAAATTATATTGCCCTTTACCTAATGTAGCAGTGCATCAAGAAATCATAAATATTGCTAGTAGGAATATTAAAGAAATGTGATCATTAACCCTTAAACTGTCCAAACGTAGATCTACGTTTTTTCAACATTTGAAAGTACTTATGTAAAAAAAACTTTGATCTATGTTTTTTTTTTTGTTATATTTGAAAATATGTAAAATAATGTAGATTTACTTTTGGAGCACTACGTATGTGAACATAAATCTGTTTGGTCAGTTTAACCCGTAAACGGTCCAAGCAGATCTACGTTCACATGTGTAGTGCTACAAAAGTAGATCTACGTTTTTTTTACATATTTTCAAATGTAACCAAAAAAAAAGTAGATCAAAGTTTTTTTACGCATTTTCAAATGTAAAAAAACAAAAAGAAGATCTACTTTTTTTACATACTTTCAAATGTTGAAAAAACGTATATATACGTTTGGACCGTTTACGGGTTAAGGGTTAAGCAGCAAATGACTGATAAAAAGATAATTTTCATGTTAACTTATCACAATACCTAAAAATTTTCCCTTAAAATATGCTACTACAGCATTTTTTTAACTTTTATTAATCATATACAGTGGAACCTCAAAAATCGAACGTATCACATATCGAACGTTTCGAAAATAGGACCATTTTTTCGGTCAAACTGTGTCCCTATTATCAAATGCGCCCCTATTTTTGAACCGCTGGGTACGGGACCTGTCTGCCGCCCGCTCTGTCCATGTCCCTGCGCAGGCGCCGTGAGCAGTCTAGCTTTGTTTATATTTGAGTGAACACTAACCTGAGCTCTCATTCACGCATTTTACGATTATTTCGTTGTGTTTAGTGCTTGTGGGACTGTGAAATAAGCTGCCATGGGCCCAAAGAAACTTGCTAGTGGTACCCCTGTGGTAAAGAAAGTGAGAAACACCATAGATGTGAAGAAGGAAATAATACAGAAGTATGAGAGTGGTGTGAGACTTGTTGAGCTTGCCAGGATGTATGGGAAAAACAAGCCGACCATCGTTTCTATCCTGTCAAAGAATGAACAACTCAAGGAAGCTGATGTTGCGAAAGGTGTTAATATAGGGAGTGGATGAGGTGCCTTCTTCAAAGATTAAGGAGATTTGTGCCAAGTGGAATGATGTCCAAATGTTTGTGCATAAGTACCACCCTGAGCAAGCTGAAACAAGCCATCTTTGCAACAAGTTCAGTGACAGAACCATGTCCCATTTTAGGGAAATGTTAAAGAGGCACCAGAAACAGAGGACTGTGGACAGTTATTTTGTGAGACAGGGGTCCAGTGACTCTCAAGCTGGTCCTAGTGGCATTAAAAGACAGAGAAGGGAAGTAACCCCAGAGAGGGCTTTACCTTAAGTCCTCATGGAGGGGGATTCTCCTTCCAAACACTAACCCCAACTCCCTCTCTCTCCTCCTCCCTATCTTCCAAATGCAATCACCAATCTTCAATAAAGGTAAGTAAAAATGTTATTTTATATGTATTACTATACATAATTAAAAAATATAGTATTTGTTGTATGTAAAACTGTAACTAATCTCTATAAAATGTATTTTTTGTGTGAATATTTTTGGGTTTCTGGAACGGATTAATTGTATTTCCATTATTTCTTATGGGAAATATTGCTTCAAATTTCAGACTTTTCGAATTTAGAACTAGCTCATGGAACGGATTAAGTTCGATTTTTGAGGTTCCACTGTATATAGTATATGTACGTCTGGAAGAAATCTTTCATATCTATTTTATTGTACCCTTTTACATACTTATAATCTTTATTAAGGTTCATTATAAGATTTTAAAGATTATTATATATTTATACAATGACAGTAATAAATAAGTGGCTGTATTTTCTGTACTCAATCTAGCTATCTTTGTGTTTTCTTGGTTACATCTTTTAACCTCAATAAACCGATAAAGAGCATTTGATTTCTAATCCTTAGGATTCTAGTATAGTATATCCATATATGAAGTTTGTGTGTCTCTCTCTCTGTCTATCACTTCCCCTCTCTTACTCTCTCTACTTGCATCTGTCTTAACTCTTTCAACAACTTTCTTGCCTATCTAAGAGTTTGATCTATCAAAAAAGTAAATAAACCAAATGGTCTGTTTTCATATCTTCATCCTTGTGAGCTGAAGGAAAAATCAAGAACATTCAGTTTATAACCAAAAGGACCTAGGATCACTTCCTGGGCGGTGAAATGTGTGGAAAGTCTTCTTACATCCGCTACATATGTTCACCTATCAGTAAATCATTACTCAGGAATTGGTTGGCTGTTGTGAGCTGCATTCTAGGGGAAAGGCTCCAATAAAAATAAACTACACTACATGACTTTGCATTTTTCCTTCCTAGACAACTACCTATTATAATATCAATATATGACGAAGAAATTTTTTCATCTGTTACATTTTATACACAGTGTAGCACTAAACCTGTAGGCAACATATAGCACCTGGGAAATAGCAGGCAATCAGGCTAGATGGATAACCCAAGAAAGTTAAGCAAGTATGGCTTATTTCCATTATGCCCCCTTAGGTCCACTCCCTTAGTATGCTAAGATAAAATTTCGTTCAAATTTTTACCCCGGAGGGTTAGCCACCCAGGATAACCCAAGAAAGTCAGTGTGTCATCGAGGACTGTCTAACTTATTTCCATTGGGGTCCTTAATCTTGTCCCCCAGGATGCGACCCACACCAGTCAACTAACACCCAGGTACCTATTTGCTGCTAGATGAACAGGACAACAAGTGTAAAGAAACGTGTCAAAATGTTTCCACCCGCCAGGAATCAAACCTGGGCCCTCCGTGTGTGAAGCGGGAGCTTTAGCCACCAGGCCACCCATACCCAGGCTATCCATAACATACACAGTAGATGATAAAGACACAAAGAAAGTAATTAGAAACTTTCTTCAGATACTGTTTTGCCGCTATACCATGCTTCTGTAAATCAATAGAATATATCAGGGGTATATACCTCAGGTATATTTTATCAATTTGAAAAAACCTGTTGTATATGCATTATATTGTCTGATGACTGCATCTGTGTCTTTCTTTGCTTACAACTCACTGGTATTCCCAAACTATCTACTGTTATAACATACGTATATTTACTGTAGGGTGACGAGGGGCAGCAGGTTTAAGGAAACTTGCCCAAATAACCCACAATGCCTAAGAATTGAACCTGGGCTCTTTTGGTTGTAGAGAGGATGCCCCACCTAATTATTATTTTTCATATTTATGAGGAAGTGCTAAACCCATAGGGGTCATACAGCACCTGGGAGCTAGTTATTGAAGAGATGTTTTGCCTATCATTGGACTGATAAAACAAGACCTGGTGGGCAAAACATCACCTCAATAAATGTCATAACACCACTTTTGTCTCACTTGCATACTTAACAAGTTAATTTAGGTACAGCTACACATAAATACAGTGACACAAATTATCATACATAGCAACATATGTGAAAATTATCCAGGGTAACCCCCCCAAAAAGTCAAAGTGACTTATTTCCATTGGGGGTCCTTAATCACCATTTGTAACCTCAGCACCAAGGAAATGGAAGTGAATGGCAGCTCCAATTTCCTGGATGAAGAACTCTTAAACTACGTCTAGGTGGACGCCCTACCTGTGCTACATGTTACTAACAGTGCCCATAACTACACTATTTTGCATGTCTAAAGACTAACATCCTAGTTTTGAAGATTCTAGTGATAGGTATGACGAGAAACATCTACTATTCTGTTTATTAGCTCATTCATAATTTGGGGATGACGGAAAATTTACAATCAAGATTTCAGATTCACTGTGAAGACATTAGCATTGGTTTTTTTTACCTGAATTAAAATCTTTAGTCTGAAAGTGGCATCTTCCGCGAGCTCTTTGGCAACATCGTCACCAATAGCAGAAATACCAATGCTTTCTGCGATCACTTTAACTGAATCTGGTGGAAAAGAAGGAGAAACTTGACTCTCCTCTGACATCTCCAAAGCGTTTTGTTTACGCTAATATTAGCAATTGTTGCTGAAATATCTCTGAAATTTTAAATAGTGGTATTTTTTGCTGCATATCACTATAACGTAAATAAACATGTCAGCTTTATTATATGATAAATTTATTTAATACCTGAAGGGAGTAATATTAGGTTATATTAATATATAAAATGTGATCGCCAGGCCTTTTAAGCGCTATTTTATAGCGAAACCTGGCAATGCATCTTTTAGGAATGAAACATTTAATATACGAAACAAATAAAGACTTTTACACTTAATCTACATTTTATTAATATATCGCTAGATATTTTTTAATTAAATAAAGATGTTTATCTCTTTATGAATAGCAGTCAGAAATTATTTTCTAAAATGAGAAGAGGTAGTTGTTGCTTCCGTCTTTTGAGTAAACATTGTCAGCCTTCGTGTGTCCGCGCTGTGCGCTACCCCAACATGTAAAGTTTTAATCGTTTTGTCTTTCGTATTTGCATGTATAGGTTATTTTTATGCAATTTTGGAACATTTAAATATACAATGCTATAGGTTTTGGAACTTTCCTTATTAATGTGTAATGGATGTTTAGAGATTAGTGATAGTGGACCCCTGGGTTCCCGTGTGCCAAGTCTAGCAACCCAGGATATGACTCCGTATTTTAAACATTAATTGATAGGCCCCCATAGGGAGGTTACGTGATATGTAAATGGTTTAGAGAGTTAAATTGAAGAATGAGACACTTTTGCAACATTTGGTTCCTTGGTACCAGTGAGGGGTTCTTGATCCAAGGAACCGGACCAGCCGTACTGTGATTGAACTTGGTTACCTCCTGTTTCTTCAGGTGCATTGTTTGACCTTACGGATTTAGTGCTCCTCATTAATATAATTGGAACATATTGCCTGCACAGGTCAAAGCTAGTCAGAGCATGAGCCAGTTCAAGAAGAGTGCCAAAAGGTACCTAATTAATGTAGCAACAGAAGGGAGGAGAATGATTTTTTTTTTATTAGCTAATAAACGTGTAGATGCAAATAACTCTATCTTATTCTTAGTATATATCCTTTATATTACAAGATATCTCCTACATTATATAATAAGGTATTAAAAGGACCCCAATGGAAATAAGTCACTCTGACTTTTTTTGGGTTATCCTAGGTTCTGTACACATGCTGCCATGTGTGATAATCTATGCAACTGTATTGTGTATACCTGTATACTTAACTGAATGATGATTTTTGGGTGTCTGCTGGCTGGTCCTAGACCAGTGGATCAAGGGTTGATCAACTAGGCTGTTGCTTCTGGCTGCACATAGTACAACATGAATCACAGCCCAGCTGAGAGGGTGAGAGTTGTACCTGCCTAGCATGGGCCTGTAGGCCTGTTGCAGTGGTGCTCCTTTGTTTTGTTCTCTTGAAGACCACCAGAGATTTGTTGGTAATTCCTTTTATGCACGAATGAAGGGCATTAAAGTCAAGTCCCTCTGACACTCGTTAAGCGCTCTAAGCGTACTTTAAGGTACTCTGCACTGTGATTTTGATGTAAAGGTTCAGGACCAGTCCCAGGATTTTCCAAATATAGTTAATGGTGTACCTCTTGCCAAAGGATACGGTTGAAGGGGCTTCAAAAGTTCCCAATAGTATAGATATTTGATTGAATGTATTTGGGCAGTGAAAGATCTCTGCATGTGAACATGTGACTTGAATAGTATTATCATTGGCTCAGCATCCTTGCTTTGAAAATTAAGATAAAATTTTATTTGGAGTTTTAACCCAGAGGGTTAGCCACCCAGGATAACCCAATAAAGTCAGTGCATCATTTGAGACTGTCTGTCTTATTTCTATTGGGGGTTCTTTAATCTTGTCCTGCAGGATGCACCCCACAATAGTCAGCTAACACACAGGTACTTACTGCTAGGTGAACCTGGGCACCAGGTGTAAGGAAACATGCCTAACATTTTCAACTGTGGCAGTGAGTGAAACAGACACTCAGTATGTGAGCTGAGTATACTAACATGTTCTAATTATCCAACCTATGATTTTCCTGTGGTAGCAGTTTCACAATATTTTGATCCTTGAATATGAGGTCTTTTGACATAGAACTTTCTCTATTGAATGATTTGACTGTCCTGTACTCCATTTCTGTCTTGACTACATTTTTATTTTTCCATAGAGGAGCATATGAGGCCCACTGAAGACTATATATCCTCTTGAAGATTCACTTTGCCTTCGGATTTAGAGGTGACTGAATTTTAATGTGCTAAAAACAGTGGACAGGTAAAAGTAACGTATTCATTCTATTAGCGTGGAAGTGGTCATCTTAATGTGGTTAGTCCCTCAGTCTTTAAGTGTCCAGCTTCCTAGTCTTGACGACTACCTTGAAATCCTTTTCCAAATTGCAAAAAAGCTGTATCCAAGAAAACAAATGTACTAATATTAGTGGTACTACAAACAAAAACAAAATAGGAAAATATGTGGCACTGGCATTGTCTAGTTTAGCATCTTTGTTATGCACCCCTCTAGACCCATCCTGAGAGTAGTAGTATAAAGATTACAGACACACACAATGTATCAAGGAACTGGTTCCCAGAGTTTTGAAAGCCAAGTAAGTTAAAGTAAATGAACTACAGTATTTACATGTTGATACTCTTATCTGGTTACATTCATGGTTTCCAAATTTATACTAAAACTTCTATAGTAGCAGCCATGCTTTGAACCAGGAGGAAATTTCTCTGCCAGTGCCACAATACTCTTGTGTGTATACAAAATTAAATGCACTGTGATCACTATTGAGAAGAGATGGTGTACCTGAATTTGTGGATGCATTTGTCTCATTAACTTGTTTATGACGGCTGTCTGAAAAACTGTGTAGATGGACTAATACAGATACTGGTCTAAATGCTTGGGGGTGGGGTGCTGTTGTTCATATAGAGGGCTGATGGTGCCATGTCTAGATTTGTCTCGCTACAGATTTTTGAATGTTAAAAAATTAAAAACTTTGATTAGGTAGGGTCTGGTTACTAGATATACCTTTATTTCTAGGGTAAAAGGTCTCTCAAAAACAAAGCATTATATGGTGCAGTATTGCATCACTGTATCTCTAAGCCACATTGATTGGTGTGTGTCTTGGTAGTAAATGATGCTAGATTAATGTTTCCCAGCTCTCACCTTGTGTGCTGGCCTGGTATATGCTGGAAACAATGTTTATAAAAGCATAGGGTGTATTGTAATAGCGGTACCTTGATATTCGAACTTAATCCATTCTAGGAGGCTGTTTGAATAGTGAGTTGTATGACTAATGAATAAATTTTTCCCACAAGAAATAATGCAAATTGGATTAATCAGTTTCATACCCCAAAAAAAATACCAATTATAAACCATTTTAAGTGAAAATATTGCTTATTTGAACTTGTATAATAATATTTGTATGCATAAAACCATACATGAAACTATAGAAACAAATGTGTGAGATAAATAAATTAACTGCACTTTACCTTTACAGAAGAGTGCTGATGTCCTAAGAGGAAGGTGGTAACTGCCTGTCTGGTGCTTTTTCTCTTTTCTGTCTCTGTGCAGTAGCATTTGAAGATGATGGAGCTTCACTACCATTGGATTTTTTACTTTTCTAATGAAGCTGTCCAGTCTTTGCTTTTGATGACCAGAATTTTTCCAAAATGGTCAACAGCATTGTTGTTGAACAAGTTGATGCTCCTATTCACAACAGTAATGTTAGGATGCTTATTTTTCCCACCAAGCTCTGTGTTTCAGCCCAATGGTAACACAGTTCCTTAATTTCTGCAGTGGAAATGTTACCCTTATTGCTTCCCTCCTCTGAAGAAATTTCCTCAACCACTTCTTGCTGCTCCTTGTGCAGGTCTTGAAGTTCTGTGGTGAACTCATTCTTGTGATCCTTCACCAACTCCTCTACATCCTCCTCTTCCATTTCCAAACCCATGGACTGGCCCAGAGAGACAGTATCCTTCATTACAGGCTCTGCCTCAAAGCCTTCAAAAATCTCTTGACACAGTCTGGCCATAATTTCTAACAGGCAGAGTTCATTGTCCTGAAAAAAACTTGCCCCAGGCTTTGTTATCCTTAAACACTGGAGATTTTTTTTTTTTTAAATTCCCTCTGTTTCAGAGGTCACTTCAAAGAAACTTTTAAATAGTGCTTCTCTGTAAAGCTTATTAAAATTGGAAATTACCTACTCGTCAGTGGGTTGAATAAGAGGAGTGGTGTCAGGGGAAAGAATTTAACTTTGATAAAGCTGTATTCATCCACCAAATTTTCCTTCAAACCAGGAGGGTGAGCAGGAGCATTGTCCATTACCAGAAGTGCTCTTAACCCCTTGACTGTCGCAACCCCCAATCCTGAGGCGTCTCCTGGTGTTGCAAAAATTAAAAAAAAAAAAATTCTTATGAAATGATAGAGAATCTTTTCCCGATTGTAATGACACCAAAAAAAACGAAATTTGATGGAAAACTGACGGAATTACGCTCTTGCGAAGTTAGCGACCTCATTTACAAATTGGCAGTTTCGCCCACTTTGAGTCCAATTTTTGGCTAATTCCAATGTTCCAGTCAACCAAACTCAGCTATTTCTTTAGAAATCCGTTTTTTCTATTCGATGGAATACAAGAAACTGCCCATTTACCAATTTCAACTACCCAGTAACGTGGTCAGAAATGTGCAGTTTGGCCAGTTTCACAAAAATTAAAAAATATGACAATTTCAAAATAAGGTCCAGAATGAACAATGCAGACATTTCTGGCTCTAAAATAACATTTTGTTTGTTTATCAGTCATGTCTCCAGGCCCCTCTGATATTACTCTTGCTCTCTATTTTGAATTTTTATTCAAACAAAAAATAGAAGATTTACTGTTATGCAGACTATTGCAATACTGTAATAATTATACAAATAATGTCAACCCATTCATGACTGCATATCAGAATCGCTAGTTGGACATTTATTAGACAATGACATGATTTGTTTACTTTTGAACATCGGCAAAAATCAAACATTTCCGCTACTTTGAGCTCTATTTCCAGGTTCCTTTTATAGTAAAACCAGTCAAAATCACCTCTATTTCGATAATATGTTTTCCATTCTATCAAATGAGACCAAGAAAACAAGAATACAACCATAAATACTATACGATAATAGACCACAAATTCTGCATTTTAATTAAAAAACAGTCAGTTTTTTTCTCATTATGCAGTGCGTGCTCCAGGATTTTTTTTTTTTTATATGGTGCACACTGACCACACAGACCCATTCTCTCACATGTGGGCCTACCAGCTTTCTCCTGCTTGATTTGAAGCCGCTAGAATTTATGAGTATATATACGTCAAACACGGTACCTCGTAAGACGTATATATACGACCGAAACAGTCAAAGGGTTAATGGTAAGTTTTTTTTTTTTCCACTGGGTACTGCTTCACACTTTGGGCAAACACTTCATGTTCCCACTCAGTGAAGAACTTCCTTGTTACCCAAGCTTTACTATTAGCTCTCCACATTATACTGAGTTTACTTAGGCATTCTTTTCCAGAAGAGGCCAGTTTCATCACAGTTAAAAACTTATTGAGGAATAAATCCCTCAGGTATAAGTTTTAAATTCTTCGACAAACTTTTCAGCCTCATTTCTGTTAGTACTGACAGCCTCCCCATGCCTTCCTACACTATGAATCCCATTCCTCTTTTTAAACCTATCAAGCCAGCCCCTAATTGCCTTAAATTCATTGCTGTCAGCCCTGTTTCCTGCTTTCCTTTTTCACATTTCTTCAGTTATCTGTGACCTTTTCACAACAAGAATTTTCACTCCATTTGCCACATCAGCCCCTTTTATTGCCACTTTGTTTTTCAATACGGACAGTACAGCCTCTCCTCACTTAGCAATATACTCGTTTATCGACGACTCGGACTTATGACAGGCTCTCTGACCAGTATGCATACCTGAATAATGTATATTAGAGCTGATTTCCTCTATTTTGTGGAACCTTGGTTTTCGTTTGCTCTGGTTTTCGTTGAATTCAGTGTTCGACGACTTCGTCAAAATTTTGTCCCAATTTTCTTTCATCACTTCAGTTTTCATCAAGTTGACAGTGGCCCACTGTACCGAACGTGTCCGCCTATGCCCACACAAAGCATCCCACGCGTTCTGAATCAGTTTGGCTTTGTTTCTCGACGGTAGAGGGTGGTAGTGATGGTGGTAGAGGGTGGTGGTTGTAGTGTGTGATAGTGGAAGAGGGTGGTAGTGGTTGTGATGGTGGTAGTGGGTGGTAGTGATGGTGGTAGAGGGTGGTAGTGATGATGGTAGAGGGTTGTAGTGATGGTTGAAGGTGGTAGTGATGATGGTAGAGGGTGGTAGTGATGGTAGTAGAGGGTGGTAGTGATGGTAGTAGAGGGTGGTAGTGATGGTGATAGTGATTGTGGTAGAGGGTGGTAGTGGTTGTGATTGTGGTAGTGATGGTGGTAGAGATAACCTCTCCTCCCTCCTCTCTTCCCTGTCTTCCATATGCCAACAAGAGTCTTCCATAAAGGTAAAAGCGATGTTAAATGTTCATTTATCCATTTCATTAATCATTTATATTTTTATTTTTTTTATTAACACATCAGCCGATTCCCAACAAGGCAGGGTGGCCCGAAAAAGAAAAACTTTCATCATTCACTCCATCACTCTTGCCAGAGGGGTGCTTTACACTACAGTTATAAAACTGTAACATTAACACCCCTCCTTCAGAGTGCACTGTACTTCCGATCTCTAGGACTCGAGTCCGGCCTGCCGTTTCCCAGAATCCCTTCGTAAATGTTACTTTGCTCACACTCCAACAGCACATCAAGTATTAAAAGCCATTTGTCTCCATTCACTCCTATCAAATACACTCACGCATGCTTGATGGAAGTCCAAGCCTCTCGCACACAAAACCTCCTTGGCCCCCTCCCTCCAACCTTGGGTAGTTGAAATCGGTAAATGGGTGCATTCTTGTACTCAATCGATAGAACAAATGGAGTTCTAGAGAAATAGCTATGATTTTAGTCAAGTGCAACATTGGAATTGGCCAAAAATAGGGCTAACTTCACGAAAGCATAATTCCATAAGTTTTCCATCAAATTTCATACTCTTGGTGTCATTTTGATTGGAAAAAAAATCTTAATTTCATAACTTTTTTTTTTTTTTTTTTTTTTTTTTTCCAAAAAATTTTTCGACCCTGAGAATGAGTTTGGGAGAAGGCCTCTCGACCCTCAAAGGGTTAAAAACTTTCATTTCTCTCTTACTTGCTGACGACATTCTTCTTGTACCCCAACTTTCTCTTACTCTCATTGTAGCTACATCTATACCTGATAATCATTTCTATATAGAATAAGCTGATCTAATCTTTTCTTGTCTTCTTATGATCCCTTATATTGGCAGTACTCCATTTCTTGTTTTCTCTGTATTTTTTATGCATGATCTCTTTATACATGGTTAATGTATCTAGTTCCCAGAATGAAATTAGTGTTTATCTTTATTAATTTTATTTCATGCATTCTAGCTTTATTCATAAATTTCCAACACTACATTCATTGTTTTATAGTACAGAATTGGTTGCATAGTTTATTGTGTAATGTATATTTATTTATATTTTCAGGAAAGTTGAGAAGAAGAAAGTAACAAAGCCTATCCGGTAAGTTTATTTTTAATACATTAATTTAGATTAAGTTAGTTTTTTTTTTTTTTTTTTAATCATTTAGTTATGAGCGATTTTTGCTGAATAACAAAAGATTTAAGGTGATGAGTTTGTTGTGATCAAAGTAGATATTTTTGCTAGTTTGGCATTTACAGTATTGGGTGCACCTGGATTGACATTTGAAATAAAAATGATCATCTGCGAAAAAAGAATTGGTTTAAGTTCCTGTAGATAAGGACTAACAGAGGGCCCAGGACACTACTTTGTGGAACCCCTGTATTGGTAGATCTGATTGCCGAAGAATAATCATTAACCCTTTCACTGTCGAGACCCCTGATCACAAACTTGCTCTCCATGTCGAAAAATGTTAGGAAAAAAATTCCTTGCCAAAATCTTAAGAATATTTTTCTGAATGTTTTAAAAGAAAAAAAAATGCAATCAGTACTTACCAAGATATAGGGACGTGAAGTTCACAGAAAGTGAACTGCTTATGGCAACATCAGCGACTGCCACTCACTCAGTAATATTATTTTTACTTTAATTCTATTTTTTTCTTTTCTTATATTTTATTTTTTCAAATAACTTGTTGTGACCTTTGAGACCAATATAATGCATATTGTATACAGTATATATATATATATATATATATATATATATATATATATATATATTATATATATATAATATATATATATATTATATATATATATATATATATATATATATATATATATATATATATATTTAATTTTTTTTTTTTTTTTTTCAACAAGTCGGTCGTCTCCCACCGAGGCAGGGTGACCCAAAAAAGAAAGAAAATCCCCCAAAAGAAAATACTTTCATCATCATTCAACACTTTCACCACACTCACACATTATCACTGCTTTTGCAGAGGTGCTCAGAATACAACAGTTTAGAAGCATGTACATATAAAGATACACAACATATCCCTCCAAACTGCCAATATCCCAAACCCCTCCTTTAAAGTGCAGGCATTGTACTTCCCATTTCCAGGACTCAAGTCCGACTATATGAAAATAACCGGTTTCCCTGAATCCCTTCACTAAATATTACCCTGCTCACACTCCAACAGATCGTCAGGTCCCAAGTATCATTCGTCTCCATTCACTCCTATCTAACACGCTCATGCACGCTTGCTGGAAGTCCAAGCCCCTCGCCCACAAAACCTCCTTTACCCCCTCTTTCCAACCCTTTCGAGGACGACCCCTACCCCTCTTTCCTTCCCCTATAGATTTATATGCTTTCCATGTCATTCTACTTTGATCCATTCTCTCTAAATGACCAAACCACCTCAACAACCCCTCTTCTGCCCTCTGACTAATGCTTTTATTAACTCCACACCTTCTCCTAATTTCCACACTCCGAATTTTCTGCATAATATTTACACCACACATTGCCCTTAGACAGGACATCTCCACTGCCTCCAACCGTCTCCTCGCTGCTGCATTTACCACCCAAGCTTCACATCCATATAAGAGTGTTGGTACTACTATACTTTCATACATTCCCTTCTTTGTCTCCATACATAACGTTTTTTGACTCCACATATACCTCAACGCACCACTCGCCTTTTTTCCCTCATCAATTCTATGATTAACCTCATCCTTCGATAATCCATCCACCGACACGTCAACTCCCAAGTATCTGAAAACATTCACTTCTTCCATACTCCTCCTTCCCAATTTGATATCCAATTTTTCTTTATCTAAATCACTTGATACCCTCATCACCTTACTCTTTTCTATGTTCACTTTCAACTTTCTACCTTTACACACATTCTCAAACTCATCCACTAACCCTTGCAATTTTTCTTTAGAATCTCCCATAAGCACAGTATCATCAGCAAAAAGTAACTGTCAATTCCCATTTTGAATTTGATTCCCATAATTTAATCCCACCCCTCTCCCGAACCCCCTAGCATTTACTTCTTTTACAACCCCATCTATAAATATATTAAACAAACCATGGTGACATTACGCATCCCTGTCTAAGACCTACTTTTACTGGGAAGTATTCTCCCTCTCTTCTACACACCCTAACCTGAGCCTCACTATCCTCATAAAAGCTCTTTACAGCATTTAGTAACTTACCACCTATTCCATATACTTGCAACATCTGCCACATTGCTCCTCTATCCACTCTATCATATGCCTTTTCTAAATCCATAAATGCAATAAAAACTTCCCTACCTTTATCTAAATACTTTCACATATATGCTTCAATGTAAACACTTGATCTACACATCCCCTACCCACTCTGAAGCCTCCTTGCTCGTCCGCAATTCTACATTCTGTCTTACCTCTAATTCTTTCAATTATAACCCTACCGTAAACTTTTCCTGGTATACTCAGTAAACTTATTCCTCTATAATTTTTACAATCTCTTTTGTCCCCTTTCCCTTTATATAAAGGGACTATACATGCTCTCCGCCAATCCCTAGGTACCTTCCCCTCTTTCATACATTTATTAAACAAAAGTACCAACCACTCCAACACTATATCCCCCCCTGCTTTTAACATTTCTGTCATGATCCCATCAGTTCCAGCTGCTTTACCCCCTTTCATTCTACGTAATGCCTCACGTACCTCCACCACACTTACATTCTGCTCTTCTTCACTCCTAAAAGATGGTATACCTCCCTGGCCAGTGCATGAAATTACCGCCTCCCTTTCTTCCTTAACATTTAAAAGTTCCTCAAAATATTCTCGCCATCTACCTAATACCTCCCTCTCCCCATCTACTAACTCCCCTACTCTGTTTTTAACTGACAAATCCATACTTTCCCTAGGCTTTCTTAACTTGTTTAACTCACTCCAAAATTTTTTCTTATTTTCATTAAAATTCTTGACAGTGCCTCTCCCACTCTTTCATCTGCTCTCCTTTTGCACTCTCTCACCACTCTCTTCACCTTTCTTTTACTCTCCATATACTCTGCTCTTCTTATAACACTTCTGCTTTGTAAAAACCTCTCGTAAGCTACCTTTTTCTCTTTTATCACACCCTTTACTTCATCATTCCACCAATCACTCCTCTTTCCTCCTGCCCCCACCCTCCTATAACCACAAACTTCTGCCTCACATTCTAATACTGCATTTTTAAAACTATTCCAACCCTCTTCAACCACCCCACTACTCATCTTTGCACTAGCCCACCTTTCTGCCAATATATTTTTATTTATATATTATATATATATATATATATATATATTATATATATATATATATATATATATATAAAATATATTTATTTTATATATATATATATATTTATATAAATATATATATATTATACAACACATACATACAAACATACATACATACATACATACATACATACAGGAAGGCCCCGCTTTACGGCGTTTCACTTTAGGGTGTTCCGCTAATACGGTCATTTCAAATTATGACCAAAACTCGCTATACGGCTCCCCCCACCTGACTTTCTAATACGGTCACCACGCCCCATCTTGTTTGTTTACATTCTTCGTGAGCTCAGTAAGCACTAAGTCTCTCCATTTTGTCTGGAAACTCCAAAATTTCAAATGTTTTTAAAAGTTATTTCATATTTTATATATACTCTGATAATTATACTTATGTATACCTGTACTTAAATAAACTTACATACTGTGCTGGCATGCAGGTACACATTAAAATCAGTAAGAGTGTCTTATGTCTCCAGATGTCATATTAGTAATGATAATAATCATCGTCTCATTTAAATGTCGTATATTACGTTAAATACACATTTTCATTAATCCATCTATGATATTTTTTCAAAATTATATAATAAACACGATACATAACATAAAAAGATGATAAATACACCCCACAATAGAATAAATAAACATAAATATGAGATGTGGTAGCAGACGACTTGCACAAGTGACGCCATATTAGAAATGCTAATAATAATAATCACCGAGTCTTATTAAATGTTGTATATTACGTTAATATACACATTTTCATTAATCCATCCATGATATTTTTTTTCAAAATTATATAATAAACACGATACATAACATAAAAAGATGATAAATTCACCCTACAATAGAATAAATAAACATAAATATGAGATGTGGTAGCCAGGTAACTTGTACAAGTGATGCCAAGAATAACATTTTCTCTAATCTAACATAAGAGAAAATGTGTTACTGGGGGTAACTGTAGAAAATTATTCCTTTCGTATGTATGTAACTAAGTTTATTCAGGTATACACAAATACAGTTACATAGATTATCATACATAACAACATATGTGTAGAGAACCTAGGATAACCCAAAAAAGTCAGAGTGACTTATTTGCATTGCCTTCACTCAGAGCATCATTTCTTCTCAAAATGATGTTACATGAGAATGGGAGTGTTCTTCTTTATTAATTCTACCGTATCAATGTAGAGACAACCTGTACACAATGTAACTTGTACACAAACCAGACGTGTACACTTTGTTTGTTTACAAAACTTACCTTCGCCTGGTTTGTTTACATAACTCTGCGCCTGTCCTCTCTCATGCACTCATTCTTTCTCTCTCTCATTTATTCGTTTTATCTCATTTACTTACTCCTGACCCTACATTAAGACTACAAATATTTTAAGGTAAGTAATGAGTGAACTGTATACATGTATACATTTTACCGCTCTGGGATGCTTAAATATCATAGAATATATGTGTGGGTGGGTTGGCCTGGTATGGTAGCCCGGCTGACTACCATACATACCACACTTGATTTTTTACAATAAATACTACTCATCTCACCCTATATTTTAAGGTAAGTAATGAGTGAACTGTATATACATTTTATCGCTCTGGGATGCTTAAATATCATAGAATTGTATGTGTGGGTGGGGTGGCCTGGTATGGTAGCCTGGCTGACTACCATACATGCCACACTTGATTTCTTACAATAAATACTACTTGTCTCACCCTAGATTAAGACTATAAATATTTTAAGGTAAGTAATGAGTGCACTATGTGTGTATTG